AATATTTATTTTTTAGTTTTCGGCAGACACAACATCTTTGTTGGTATGTGGTGCTGAGGATCGAACCCGGGCCTCACGCATGGGAGGCCAGCGCGCTACCGCTTGAGCCACATCCCCAGCCCCTACCTTCATTTTCAATAAACAGAAAATTGTGTGGTTTGTTTTGTCAAGGAAAAAAATGTACAGCAGGGAACTCTTACTCTTGTGATTTTAATACTACTCTTTGTGATTTTATTTTTTTTATTTTTTTAAATTTTTTTTTAAAATATTTATTTTTTAGTTTTCGGCAGACTCAACATCTTTGTTGGTATGTGGTGCTGAGGGTCGAACCCGGGCCGCACGCATGCCAGGCGAGCGCGCTACCACTTGAGCCACATCCCGAGCCCTTCTTTGTGATTTTAATATTCTGTGGTATTCTACTCTGCCACTGGGGTATGGTAACATCACATCTCACCCCAGGCTTGTTAATAACTACATACCTCTCATGTTTGCTGATAGCTCAGCTCTCTGCTCATATTACTCATGTTTTAAACATAAGATAGTTTATGGATTCTTGAGTAGGGTTTTCCATTTTTTATTACAATTAATCTGAGTTTGAACAACATTATAGAAAAACTGATAGTTTTCTATTGCAAATCAATTGTATACCAGCACATATGTATTTGTAGAATGAAACCTGTTAATAAGCTGATGATTGCTAATAATATTCCTTTATTGCTGCTTTTTGTGATTATTTCATTGGCCAGTTTCCAAAAAGTATTATCAGAAGGCTGAGTTTGTATTGTTATTTAGCATACATGTGAAATAGTAGGCCTATTGCCTTTTTGGTGGGCGTGGGGGGGGGTTGGTGTTGGTGATGCTAGGCATAGAACCCCAGGCCTATTACTTCTGACCTTTCTACCAAAGAAAAAAGGTATGTACAAAAGTTATTGTGAACTAAAATGTTTTTAAAAATTTACTTTTCCTGGTGTATATTCCCCCCCACCCTGCACACATTTTTTATTGGTATGTTATAGTAATACAGAATGGTGGAATTTGTTGTTACATATTTGTACATGCACACAATATAGTTTGACCAGTATCACTTCCCAGTATATCTTCCTTCCTTTCCTTCCTTCCATATTTTCAGAACAGTTTTTTGTTTTGTTTTTGCAGTGTTGAAAATTGAACCGGTTTTTGTTTTGTTTTTTATACAGGGAATTGAACCCAGCGGCATCTAACCACTGAACCACATCCCTACCGCCCCCCTACCCCTCTTTTTGTAGTTTATTTAGGAGCGGGGTTTCACTGAGTTGCTTAGGGCCTCCCTAAATTGCTGAGGCTGGCTTTGAACTAGAGATCCTCCTGTCTCAGCTTCTGAGCCACAGGGATTACAGGCATGTGCCTTTATGCCTGGCCTGAACCTAGCTTTCCACGTGTGTACCTCCTGCCCCAAGCAAACAAGAAAGAAAGAAAAAAAATTAAGATGTCTCATTCGGAGATAACAATAAGATTTCATCTCTCCTGCTAATCTGGAATACTTGGGATCCTGGAACACTGTCAGGAGAAAGCTTATGAACTACATTCAGGATTTTTTTTGTCCACCTCGGGTACAAACGCAGAAGTAGCCTAAGTTTGCCAACAAGGTGTCTTTCCTTACCTTTGGTTTTTAAATTGAGCAACATATATACCACTTATGGTAACTTTGAAATAAGTATTATTTTTAATGATCTGTTTTTAGTGAGAAAAAATAATAGGTGAATATTTAAATTTATAAAATGTTTTAAAATTCATTATGAAGGTACAGAAAAGTCATTGCAAAAGTTACTTTTACTAAATGTATTTAAGCTGAACAAAATTACTTACATAACTGGTGTAATATTAGAAATGTATTTTCTAGAACTAGATTGTCATTTTGAGGACTGCCCTGGATTTCAGATGATCAGTGTTCAAAAGCAGCTGTCTTATAAAAAAGACATTGATACAGTGTATACAATAGTAATGTGTACTATACTATTGCACTGCTGCCTGATAAACTCTGGTGTGTTGCTATTTGTGATTGGTTATTGACAATTATTGTGACCTGTGTTTTCATACTTCAAAGAATGTAGTAGAGAAGACTCTTGAGTGCTTGTACATATTTGTACATGCACACAATACAATTGTCCAAGTATCCTATTTTTAGGACAATCTGTAGTTTCATTCTTAATTAAATCAAAAGATAATGTAAGCTCGAGATTATGAAATAGTCACAGAATTGAAAAGTTGGTATATTATTTCCTTGAAATCCAAATTTTGGAAGGGGAAAGAACTGTGTGATTTTTTTTTTTTTTTTTTGAGTATAGGAGTAACAAGAAATGTGAGTTTATTCAAGGCGAGTTCATTTAGGGAACATAATCTGATTGACCAATGAATATCAATACGTAGACCAGCAGTGACAGATGGGGACTTGGTACCATTCAAAATGAATGGAACCTATAAAAGGTAGAAATTTTGCAGGATAGGATGATGGTAAGCCTTTTAAATCTAGTTTTAATTGGGAATAGGATATGAAGGGCAACTGGCTATGTGTCTTTTAGAAAGGGGTGGTCTCTAGGTTATTTCTAATCACTTGAGGACTGATTATTTTGAATTCAGGTCAGAAGTAGACCTACACAGCCTACATTGAAGCCTTTCACTACGTACTACAATGTATTGTTTTATTTTAAAGTTATTCCATCAGAATTAGGAAACTATAAAATGCCTTGTTTCTAGAAGAACATACACAATTGTATAATACTTTATCACAATGGTTGATCTGAATGACTTGTTAGGATCATATAAAAGTTAGTACAATTACTATTTTTATTATGATGATTAAGCACTCATTTCTAACCTTACTGCAACCATATTTATTATTGACATTTATCAATGGGATTATATAAAAATTCATGTATTATAATTTTTAGTAGTAAGTGTGTGTTTTCTAATTAGTAGTAGAACCAAGGGCATTGTGACTGTTTATTTCTGGAAAAAATAATTTTGTAGTAGATTGTGAAATATTTTGGTTACAAACTGAATACAGAATAAAGCAGGAGCAATATACCCCTCTTAAAGAATGTTAAATTGCCACATTTCTGTCATAATTTTTCTGAGAAGTCAAATGTTACATTTTAAGTAGAGCTAAACTCCACAATTTTTCTATTCCCCTTCCCAGAGATAATAAAGACCTTACACTCATCCTGAATTTGTTGTATATACATTCTATACATGTTTTATACCGTTTTTTTAAACCTAACTATATTAGTAACAATCATTATTTTTTAGTTTTTCATGTAGTTTTTCCATTGCACCACTGTTGGTTGATGGTCATGTTGATACATGTAGCAAATTAAGTTTCCAAATAGTATTTTATTAAATTCCTTTACTATTTGTATGTACCTGTACTAGTATTTATTCCTACCTCCTACACCATGTTGACTCCAGGTCTTCAGCACTCTACTACTGAGCTATACTCTGTTCCCTGTAATAGTACTCATACTTATTTTTTTGTTTTTATGTGACTTCTCCATTTAATATTGTGTTCTGAGATTTAGTCTTGTTGATATGTAGAGTTATAGATTTGTGTTTATTACTATAGGAGAAATTTTTAGAGGAATAAATTAATTTAAGTGCTTTAACAGTTAGGTTGTAATTAATTTTGGATTTATTACAAATTCTGCAATGAACCTATTTCCATATGCAGATGTAAAAGTTAAATTCTCAGAAGCACAATTTCATAATGGTTAGGTATGTAGATTGTCCACCTAGCCAGATATTTCCAAATTATTCTTCAAAAGTAGTCATACCACTTAGGAGCAGTGTACAAATTGCTGTTTTACATATCTTATCATCCCCTGTCTAGATTTAAATCAGCATCTCAATATTTTATTTACTATTTTAACCAAATTCTAATAAGATTGGGCATATGTTGTATTTATTGATCATTTGAGTTTTTCTCCTGTGAATTAAAATCATCTCTTTTTTAATTCCAGCATATTTCTGGAGTTTTGTTATATGTTTTGATTATTTAATCTTTAGATATGTCTGTTTACAGATATCCTCTACCAATCAGTACCTTGCCTTTTAACTTTGTTAATTAGACCTTTTTGAAAATTAGGTCATGTTTTGTTTCTTATTTAAGAAATTCTTTCCTGTTCTGAGTCCCAAGATACTCTTTGTGTTTTAAGTGTATATGTACAAATATAGCAATTTGAAAATTTTAAATTATGGAATTATATTATGAAAAAAGAAACTTTTACTTTCCCTATATAAAGAACTAGGCATTTTGAATAGATCAATCTAATTCATTAGAATCTCACTTGATTTGAATGCCATAGCTTTATATATCCAATTTTAAGTTGTGAGGCTCTGTATTCTGTTCCATTGGTCTTTTGTCCATCGTATATTGCCTTAGTTACCATAATTTTATAATGAGTTTTGATAGCTGATAATTTAAATTTATATCATGTTTTACTTTTTAGAATATCTTTGCTAATGATTCTTTTTTCTGTGTGAACTTTTAGAACCCTGCAGAGAATTTCATTGGGATGTCTTTGAATTTACAGATTTATATGAAAATTGCCTTATTAAAACATATATCTTGCCATTTGTGTAGATCTTTATATCTCTCAGACTTATTTATCTTTAAAGATTTTTTTCCTCTAGTATTAGCTTTTGTTGATGAGTTTAGTTATGAGTAGTGCTTTTACAGAAAATATTTTTCTGTGACTGGAATTTTTAACAAATTATTTTTCATATATGTCTTATTTTAAAGTAGAAAAATTAAGGCAATTTCAGAGGATTTTTTAGGGGGGGTGCACAGGATCAGGGTTCTTAATCTATATGAAGTGTTTTATTCCACAAGTGTCCTTCCTGTAGTTTCTGTGTGTGTGTCCATCTTTACTTTTTCTTGATAATAAGTTAGTCTGTATAAGTGCCTTCATCTGATTTGGTATAGATACTATCTACTCTTGGATTTCACTCAGTTTATTTCCTTTTAGGAGACGCAGGTCAGAATGGAGATGGGCTGCAGACCGAGCAGCTATTGTGAGCCGCTGGAACTGGCTTCAAGCTCATGTTTCTGACTTGGAATATCGAATTCGTCAGCAAACTGATATTTACAAACAGATTCGTGCTAATAAGGTAAGGGATCAGTATCTGGTGTTTTCAGCCCAATTAAAAACTACCATTTTCCCTTTTTTTTTTCATCCTCTCCTACCCTTTCAGTAATTCTTCACTATGTCAAGATAAAAGGTTTAATCTGATATTATAAGCTGATGTTGGATAGTATACTGTAGTAAACAAGGCTAGAATATAATATTTAATTGACGTGTATTTAGAAAAGAACAGCATGGGTGTCTGAGTTAACATAAAACCCACCCCAAATAAAAGACTATATAATTAATGTAAACCATTAGCTATCAGATTCATTATGTGTTCATGTCTAGTGAGGATTTTTACTATCTTGCTCTTTTGATTAGCTGTTTCCTGTTTTATTACTAAGCCTCTCTTGGCTTGCTTGAGAAAAAATAGGGTTTGCCTAAACAATTGTTGAGGTAAATACATTGATGATGAAGAGTTTTATTTTGCTTTATTCCCCTGTGAAGGACTAATAAGCTACCTTACAGCTTTTATTTTTTATATTGACATTACATAGTTTTTCGTCGTGAGAAATCAACATAGGAGAAAGCTTTTTGCTCCAGTTTTTTTTTTTTTTTAAAGAGAGAGTGAGAGAGGAGAGAGAGAAAGAGAATTTTTAATATTTATTTTTTAGTTCTCGGCGGACACAACATCTTTGTTGTTATGTGGTGCTGAGGATCGAACCCGGGCCGCACGCATGGGAGGCCAGCGCGCTACCGCTTGAGCCACATCCCCAGCCCCTCCAGTTTGAATTTGAGTTGAAAAGAAATTTGCACAGAAAAAAAAAAATCTATTCAACAAATATTGAGTGCTTACTGTGTAGCACCACTTTTCTCTGTGGAATGGTCACATAGTGAACAAAAATTTTACCTTCATGGAGCTTTACATTCTTGCACAGTGTCTTTTGTTCTTAATATTTTATGAGCTTCATGACTGACAGATGGGTCTAGATAAAGTCTACTCCTAAAAATGTGTTAAGTATCTTTTTATCCTTAATGCTTGTCACGGCCTTAAGAAAACTGCTTACTGTAAACAGTATGCGTTAGATTAATTAATAGGTCTAAAGTTAAAGGGTGATCAAATGACAAGATAAATAAAGTGATGAAAGTTTGATGTAAAAGTTCTGTAGCTTCCTCTATCTACTCTTTTTAAACATTTATGTTAAAAATTCCACTTCTGGGGGGGGGGCTGGGGATATGGCTCAAGCGGTAGCGCTCTCACCTGGCATGCAAGCAGCCCGGGTTCGATCCTCAGCACCACATACAAACAAAGATGTTGTGTCCACTGAGAACTAAAAAAATAAATAAATATTTTTTAAAAAAATTCCACTTCTCCTCTTTAAACAAAAAGTTCACTGGATAGTTCTAGGTTTTCCCCCTCATATTGGATTTATGTATAAATCTCCAATAATCCGTCTGAGCATATTATAATTGACATAGTCCAAAGGATTAACTTTTTAATAATTTGTTCCCTTAGGGGAGAGAACAGATTAAATCATGACTAACTGTAACAAATTAGCTAGAAGATCTGAGGGTGTGGTGGTGTATACGTGTAATACCAGTGTCTTGGGAAGCTAAGGCAGGAGGATTGGATGTTTGAGGCCAGCCTCAGCACTTGGTGAGGACCTAAGCAACTTAAAAAGACCCTGTCTCAAAGTAGAAAAGGACTGAGATATATGTAGCCCAATGGAAAGTGCCTCTGAGTTCAATCCCTGGTACTCCCCCATCTCCTACCCCTAGCCAAAAAACAAATTAGCTAGAACAAAACTAAGAAATATTCTAGAGATTTTAGAGGTGGTGATTATTTTGCTTTTCTTACTTCATCTTCACAAAGGAAATTTTAAAGCCTGATTTATAGAGAGTGAACTGGAATGGTGACTAAGAATAGCCAGGAGATGACTGGATATTACCTATCCTGAGGAAAAAAACAGTCTTTCTGTGTCAGGGACGCCTCTTCAGTGTCTGTTTCTAAGTTATTTTAGCCAGTAGTTAGGTGGGAGTTTCTATATATGAAAACTAGAGTCTCTTGGTTAGTACAACAGTCATATTTGTTGCTTCATCTATTTTATATACATTCATACATAGATATGTGCTTTTATATATGTGTATATGTTTTGTTATATTAGTTTTTCATTATAAAACTACCATAGTGCTAGGCCCATTGATGCAGACATGTAATCCCTGCTACTCAAGAGGCTAAGACCAGTGGTTTGCAAATTTGAAGCCAGCCTGAGCAACTAAGTGAGACCCTGTCTCAAAATAAAAAGAGCTGGGGATATAGCTCAGTGAAAGAGCACTTGACTAACCTATGAGATCCTGAAGTCAACCCCCCAGTATTCTGATTAATCAATGAGTTTATCATATTTCATAGAATGTAAGATGCACCATTTTTTTATGTATCACTCAGAGATTATTTCAATTAAACCAGGGCAAAGCAGTTGTGAAATGCATCTTGATTTAAAAGATGTTGAGATGTGAAAAAGTGTGGTTTAGTTAAAATTGATGAAATACTGTGTATCAATTCAATTAATAGGATAAACTTGGAAATTACAAAGAAGTATGGGGGATCATTCCCTAATAAGCTCAACTTGGTACAAAATATTTTTTAAAAATTTTTATTAGTTATTGATGGACCTTTATTCATTAATTTGTTTATATGTGGTGCTGAGAATCGAAACCAGTGGTCCATACATGCTAGGCAAGCATGCTACCACTGAGCCACAACTCCAGCCCAAACCATTTTTATATATATATTTTCTTCCATCATTTTTCTCAGTGTCACATAACTACTTTAAACAAAGAATTTTGTTACAGTGTATCCTGAATATTTACTGTCACTTTCTGGAAATTTTGTTGTTATTAACTATGTTCTTCCAACTTTTCTTGTTGATTATTTAAATTATTATTTTTTTAATTATAAGGCATGTCATGATAAACATCTTTACTTCAGTCAAAGACATAAAAACTTTTATATTTTTGCTGCACACTGTAGAGAAAAGTGTCTTGGCAGTCCCTGTCAGTTTACAGATTTGGTAACTACGTATGAAAAGATAATCTCACTTTTGGCTCTTGCTTTATTTGTCTCATCACTTAGTAGTAATGTCAGAGCAATTTGGGGAAACTTTTTAAAAACTTAAAGATATTTCTCAATATCTGGAAAATATTCTAGAACTTTATGTATATACTGATTACTCAGGAGTCTTGATATTCAGGGCATAATATATTAAAGAAACACCAGACTTACTAATATTTCATTTTAATTCTGACTTTTGTTAACAGTTATATAATCTTGGTCATATAAAGTCACTTATCATTTGTGAGCCTCAGTTTCTTGGTCTATAAAATATGTCATTCTAGATAATCTTTTATAAAACATTTTTTCTGCAGTTTAAATACAGTATCAATTACAAACTTCTGACAATAAAATTAGAATGAGAATCCCAGTAAGTAATATGTCAAAAAAAAAACCTCAAAACTTTTCAGATCATTCTATCATTTAAATGTTAGTGATTTAATGATTTGTTCATATCATTAAGTCATTTGTTTTTTCATCTAAATCTGTTAAGTTTCCTAAGTTTCCATACAAAGTATCACAAACTGGGTGGCTTGAAACAACAGAAATTTATTCTTTCTTAGTTCTTGGGGTCAGAAGTCTAAAGCCAGGATGTTTTCAGGGTCATGCTCCTTCTGAAGTTTCTGAGGAAGAATCTTGCTTCTTCCACAGTTCTGGTGGTGGCTGGCAGTCCTTGATGTGCTTTGGAGGAGGCTGTGTCACTCTAGTTGTTTGTTGCCTTTGCCTCTACATGAGCATTGTTTCTTTGAATATCTGTGTCCAAATTTTCTTGTTAAAAATGCACTAATTGGGGACTGAGGCTGTAGTGCAGTGGTAAAGCGCTCCTCTTGCATACGTGAGGCACACTGAGTTCAATCCTCAGCACCACATAAAAAAATAAATATACTGCATTCATCTACAACAAAAATATACATAAAATTTACTTTTAAAAATGCACCAGTTGCAGTGTGTTTTGGGCCACTGTAAAGGGCTCATTATAACTTGATTACATCCACAAAGACCCTGCTTCCAAATAATGTCATATTGTTAGTTCTTAGCAGACATAAATTGTGAGGGAATACTTCAATCCAGCCTAATAAATAAGCAGTGGAATTTCCTCAGTGATATATTACCATGCATTTGGATTTTACCTAGACTATTCTATTATTTTATTAATAGAAACCTTTGAGCACCTGTACTGTGTGCCAAAAACTATGCTATAGGCATTTTACTGTTATCCACAGTTTTAAAGATAAACAAATGAAGGTTTAGAGATTAAGTAGTTTCTGCATGGTCCAAAGTGTATCCAAGTGAATCCAAAACCAAGGTTTGAGTATCTGGCCTCCAGAGTTTTGCTTAAGTTGGTGGTCACTTTTAAGTGCTTTGTTACTTTTCTGGTTATTGAAATCCAAGGGATTTTTTTCTCTGTGCATTAGTAGAGTGGATGGTGTTCCCATTCTGCTCCTAGGTTTACGTCATTTGCCTATGTTGTTCATGAGACAATTCTAGGTTTGATAATCAGATGTTCAGTTATAACTTTGTCTTTTGGATAGAAGATTGGAGAGATGGTGGGGCTTTTATTTTTTAAGGCTTTACTGTATTAATTTTCTTAAAATGAAGATTTTGGGGAAGTATTTGTGAACTACTGCTAGGTGATTCTAATTTCCATACATCATGTTCTTTGCTATCAGAAGTTAATATCAAAAGATAATACCCAGCTGGCCATGGTGGCACACAACTGTAATCCTAGTGGCTCAGGAGGCTAAGAGAGGAGGATCACAAGTTTCAGACCAGCCTCAGCAACTTAGCGAGACCCTGTCTCAAAATAAAAGGACTGAAGATGTGGTTCAGTGGTTAAATGCTCCCAAGTTAAATCCCCGGTTCAGAAAAAAAAAAAAAAAATCTTCCATGACAGAGAAAGGAAAATAATATGTGTATGTATTGAATAAGTTCATATTTCCAATATTCTTCTGCATCCACATCTAATGCATTAAAATGCTTTATTATTTTTCATCTCTTCTTCTGACTGATTTGAGAAATTCCACAGTACTTGCTAAGGACGGAAATGTTATTGAGGATAAGAGGTGGAAAAGCATTGAAAACACCAGGTAGAAAAATGCCGGGTAGCAGGAGCTTATCTTTTGTCTTCAAATTTTTATTTATTTATTTTCATTGCAGGTGGGCAAATAGCTTTATTTCATGCTAAGGTTTGAACCCAGTTCCTCTCATGTGCTAGGCAAGTGCTCTACTTCCAAGCCCCAGCCCCAGCCTTTAAATTTTATAAAGAGTTAAGGTTCCCAGCTTAACCACGTTATAGCTGTGTCTTCTTCAGGTAGCCCAAGGACGTTCTTAAGAAACTCATCTGCAATTACTGTTTTGTTTTAAAGACTGTGTCTGCAGTTGTGACCTTACCAATTCCATTGGTCCTTGTATAAAGCGGAAGCTTACCTTGTGAGAGTTCTGTAGGGCTGGGCAGGCCACATGATCCTGTTTCTGGCTCAAAGGGCTGGAGTGAAGAATAGAGTGACACTCTTGGCCTTTAACTTTGTCCTTTATCAGTTGCTATCTCTTTCAGATTACATTAACCGTAAGGCTTTTTGCGCTCAAACTGATGGCCATACCCATTTCTCATTGACCCAGTTGAAATACAGAATGCTATGGAATTCCATGTTTGAGTTGACTTGACAGGGTAGAGTGGAAGAGTTTTCTTAGCTGATAATAATCTTTCTTTTCATGGCTGTTAAACATGAATAAACTTTTTCCCAAATAATTTAATGGAATGTAACTACTTGCATACAAAAAAGGACTTAATATTAACTCTACAGTTTAATGATATATTTGAATATTTTAGGAAATTTCAAGTAATCATGTAAATCTCCTTAAAGCCTCACTTCCATCAGCCTCATTAGCTAGGCTCTACCTCTTTTCTCTTTTAGGTCACCTTCTCTAAACTTCTATTATAGTGCTGCTAAACTTCTGTTATAGTAATGCTTTGCCTACTTTTTTAATCCAAGGCTAGATAAAGTTAAGTTCCTTATGGTAGAATCTGTTTTTTAATTTTCTTGAAAGAGGCTAGAAACCTTGTCAGGTTCTCTGACTTCCTTCCCAACCCACAAGCATATTTGCATATATGGTTGATTCTTTCTTCAAATATATATCCAGTGTCCAGCCACTTTGTTCCAAGCAACTGTTTTTTCTGCTTTTGTTTTTCCTCCACTGTCTGTATTAGCACAGTAGTTAGATTGATCCTTTAAAACTTAATCATTCTTCAAATCATCAAATTTACCCCCATCTTAACTTTTGCATTGACTTTTCTCTAGATACCTGTAAAGTTTGTTTTCATGTTTTTGTCAAATATTTAGTCAAATATCACCTTCCTGGTGTGGTTTACTCTGGCTGCCTAATAGGAAATAGTATTCACTTCCACTTCTTAACCTTCTCTAGGTCCTTCCCTTTTCCATTTGACACCTTTCATATTGTTTGTACTTACCCCAGTATTAGAATAATGTAAGGAATTTTGAGGGATGCGTTAGGGGAGATTGAGGGGAGAGGTCTCATTCTCTTCTACATCCCCAGCACCTAAAAAATGTTTATGAATGGAACAGTGGTTAACTTAAATAAATATAAGAAAATGTTGACAAATTATATATGTCAAACTTAGAAAACTTGTGCACAGCAAAGGAAACAACAGTGAAGAGACAATCTATAGTATGTGAGAAAACATTGGCAAACTGTTCATTTAACAGGAGAGTAATATCCAGAGTATATAAGGGATTCAAGCAACAGCCCCATCCCAGGAAAAAAAGAATCCCGCTAAGAAATGGACAAAATGGATAGGCATTTTTCAAAAGAACATGAACAAAAGGCCAACAACTTGTGTCATCACAATACAGAATGACTCTTATGAAAAAGACCAAAAACTTGCTGGGGGCAGTGGTGCATGCCTGTGACCCCAGTGGCTCAGGAGTCTGAGGCAGGAGGATTATAAGTTTAGAGCCAGCTTCAGCTATTTAGCGAGGCCCTAAGCAACTTAGTGCGACCCTTTCCCGAAATAAAAAGGAGTGGGAATTGTTGCTCAGTTAAGTACCCTCGGGTTTAATCACTGGTACCCTATCAAAATAAAACAAAAATAATAATACTGGCAAGAATACAGTGATAGGGGAACTCTAATGCACTGTTTGGTGGGAATGTAAATTGATACAGGTTTTATGGAAAACAGTTTGGAGGTTCTTCTGAAAACTAAAAGTTAGAACTGCCATATAACCTGGTAATCCCACTTTTCCCTCCCCTATATTTTATTTTCCCAACCTCTGTAAATTTGAGGGGACAGCAATGTTACTGAAGTTGTGGCCCATAATATTGTATTACTCATACATCCTGCTCTCTACTGGGGATTGAACCCATGAGTGCTGTATCATTGAGCTACACTCTCAGCCCCCTTTTAATTTTATCTGAGACAGGTTTCCCTACGTTCTCTGAGCTGGCCTTAAACCTGTCTGAGATAAACATTTCATCTTTTTACATCTCTTCTTTTAAAAAATTTTTAAATTAAAAAGGATCCCAGAGGATGCCAGGGATATATATAACTCAGTTGGTAGAATGCTTACGTTGCATGCACAAGGCCCTGGGTTCAATCCCCAGCACCACCAAAAAAAAAAAAAGATCCTAGGGATGGATCAGTCTGGTTCAGTCACTCATAAGAACCTATATCTCAATGTTCTAGTGAACTCAAACTAATATAGTCAAAATTTTTAGGACTTTTAAAAAAGGAAATCTATATTTTAGGCTCTTCTCTGATGTATTCTGTTGGAGAACCATGACTGATCAGATCTAGAAGTCTAGTATGTATTTTTGCACATTACTGCAGATCGAATGAACCTGGCATATGCTAGGCAAATGCTCTACCACTGAGCTACATCACCATCCCTTTTTAAATTTTGTTTTGAGGCAGGTTCTTGCTAAATTGCTATGCTGTCCTTGAACTTAAAATCCTCCTACCTCAACTTCCCAAATGCATGGGATTACAGGAATGTGCCACCCCACCTTGCTGGAAAGAGATTTCATGTGGAATATTTAATCCTATCCTGAGATAATAAGTAGATTTGATGACGGACCTGCCATATGTTTGATATATTCCCCAGCTGATTCTAATAAGAGCTGCTTTTTTTTTTCTTTTGGTGGGGCACTGGGGATTGAATGTAGGGTTGCTTAACCACTGAGCCACATCCCCAGCCCTTCTTTATTTTAAGATAGGATGTGCTAAGTTGTTTAGGACCTCACTAAATTGCTGAGGCAGGCCTTGAACTCCCTATCTGCCTGCCTCAGCCTCCTGAGCTGCTGGGATTGCAAGTGTGTGCCACCATGCCCATCTTTAATAAGAGCTTCTTAATCTGGTTTGATCTGTTCACTATTACTTGGGATGAATGTAAGATCTGAATTTGAAATTGTCAAGCGGGAACTTAATCTAAAGTTTTATATATGCTGAGTGCCAGTGGGGCATTAAAAAAAAGTTTTTGATTTCTGATTCCTGGGACTCTTCCATTTTTGTTTCACTCCATTATTCTGCAGTACAGTTGTTGAGCTCATAGTTGACAGTAGTAGTACATTTAATGTGGTAATCCTTCAGCCACATTTGTGATCAAGTTAACTAGAAACACTGCATTGCTTATGTTGATTCAGTCCAGTCCAGTTGGTAATATATATAAAATACTAAAAAATGCCAGGCTCTGAACAAAAGGTGAATGACATGTCAAGTAAATCAGAACATTAAGGTGGAATAGTGAGGAAGCCTTTGCTGCCTTGCTGAATACCCTCCTACTACTAGACTTTTTGTTCATCCATTAAGAAGCAAATTTTTAGTTCAGCAAGTATTTCAATAAAATTGATACAGGTGCATTAAAGTAGATTGGAAATCTATATAGAGCTTATTTTTTTATCAAAACTCTGGAAACGTGTATTTCAAAGTTACCATTAGTAGTATATTCTTTGCTTTATTGATCAGTTTTTTTTTTTTTTTTTAACAGTGCTAGGGATTAAACCCAGGGGCGCTTTATTACTGAGCCACATCCATAATACTTGTATTTACTTTTCAGGCAGAGTCTCACTAAGTTGTGAAAGCTAGCCTTGAATTTGCCCATCCTCCTGCCTCAGCCTCCCTGTTACTGGGAATATGGGCATGCACCACCATGCCTGTCTCAATTAAAGTTCTTTAGGTATTCCATAAATGGTTAAATGGGACATAATGGGTTAAATAACGCTTTTGGAGTAAGGCAAATGTAATCCCAGTGGCTTCAGAGGCTGAGACAGAAGAATCACAAGTTATGAGACCCTGTATCAGATTAAAAATAAAAGACCTGGGGCTATAGCTTATTGGCAGAGTGCTCTGCTGGTGTAGTTTGTTTCTGAACAATAGAATAAGAGAAAAGTCTTTTGGTAAATCAGTCTTCTGCTTCTACCCTTTTGAGATTAGCTCCTAAATTTGTCATTTATTTCAGTCACTTAGTGTTGTTTATCTCTCCTCTCTGTCCCACAGGGGTTGATAGTTCTTGGGGAGGCACCTCCTCCAGAACATACAGCAGACTTACTGCTTCCACTTAGTTCTGAGGTGAAGACAGATCATGGGACTGATAAATTGGTAAGTATAAAATAAAGGAAAGGGGAAACGTGAGAATTGAAGGTATAACTTCAGCACACAGTTTATTCTTTATAAATAGAATGTTACCATTGGCTAAAAGAAGGAAACTATCCCCTTTTATCACTTTGGGCATTTTGAGATCTGAATTCCTAAATTGGGCAACATAGGAACCCTCTTGCTGTGTAGCTGACCTTAGAATTTAAAGGTGATTCCTAACCCTCAAGAAACCACAGCCAGAGCAAATATGAAATTTTGGAATGTTGTTTGGAATCTGTAGACCTGACTATACCCTGACCCTTTGAGAGGTAAAATAAAACTTTTTTGGCTTACTATAATATATATAATCTTTTCATTAAAAGGTTGGAACTAGAGGTTAAACTCTGAAAAATGTTGAAAATACTGTCTGTGGGTGATTCTTATTTTATAATAAGGATAAAACTATCTTTCATAATCTTCCATATCCTTAGACCCTAGATCAAATCTCCTTCTTCTATTCTTTCCCTTTCCCTAACATAATTTCTTTCTTTCTGAATTCTAAGAGTGCTCATTTATTTATTATACTTTTTAAGTTTCCCTAAAAGCTAGCTGGCTTTTATGAATATTAGCATTTCTTCATGTCAGCTCAACAACTGAGTTTGAAATTCCAGTAATTATTCATTTTGATTATGCTTCCTGGTAGTAAGCAGTATTAACTTTTTAAATTGGGGGTTACTAGCCTGTCTCTTTATATCTGCAACTCATTAAAGCATGTTACCTTTTATATTTATCATGGTTAACAGGAATTCATATAAAATATAATGAAAATTAACTTTCTTCTGAGAAAGGTCATAGAGATGTTTGGGTTTTGAAAAGGTCTTTTACTCAGTTTTGAATGCCAGCTGCTGTTGCTATGGATAAATATAACATTAAGAGATCAAGAGTTCTTAACTGGAGGGTAGTTTATTAAGAGTGAGAAATTACACCACTATTCGGATCTGTAATGTGAGTTAATTATACGCTATCAATAGAATTTTTTTAAGTGACTTATGAAACTTTAATTATTCCAGCCAAGGGAAATATTGCTTAGTGAGAGAAGAATCATGGGTAAATTGAGAGGTCAGCTGATGATAATAAAGAGGCACAAAAAACTTGAGGCATATTTGATTGGGAATAAGTTCTTTGTAAACATTTATATAAAGTATCATATGTCTTCAACAAAATGCGAATCAGTTTTTACAAGAAAATCTACAATAAACATCTAACTTAGATTATCTGGGCCCCTAATCAATTATAAATAGTAGATAAAACAAAATGTGGGCTTGTTGAATAATGTTCCATTGTTAATACCAAAAGAACATATAGCCAGTCTTTTTTCCTTATTTCCAAACTGAATGTTCATTTTTTGGCAGAATCAATACCTATATATGTGGGTCTTGAAGACAGTACAGATTTTACTGAAATTTAAGTTGTTCTAAAGGGCCCCAGCCTGTGACATTTAGAGACTAGGTGAGCCTCTTTTGAGCCATGGAGCAAAGCAAGAAATTCTCCTTGAGATAGGAGATGGCTTTGTGTTGGGAGAAGAAAATAAGATCTAATGAGGAACTCCTAAAAAGTTCCTCTTCCCCCTTCTGGGGATTTGCACAATCTTACCACTCAAGAAAGTTGGAAAGGTACTGCTTGCTAAAGAGAGACAGTGAAGGCCTATGGCTTTGTAGCTGCCAATAAAGTCTTCTCTGTGTTCAAATAAATAGCTGATGTGAAGTAAGGCTGTTTTTGTACAAAGAAGGTGTGCCCCTGGAAAGAAAAAAGCTGTTGAGAGTTGTTCTCCAGTGTTGAGAAGCATGCCCTTTATCCTCCTCACTCTTCATTCCCTTGAGTAGCAAACCATTTTCATCCATGTAAGAAAAAGTAGTGAAGGACCAGAGAATAACTAACTTGAAACTTATTTAAGTGAACTAAGTGAATAAAATAGTTTAAAATTATTCAAGAAAGTCATTAAGATTTGAGATAAAAAGTATTTTCAGGAAGAAGTGAGGGCTTTTTGGTCCGTGTATCACAGGGTTTCTAGTATTCCACCAGAGAGCCATAGTATCGTTGGCTTGTATATTGTTGGAGGATGAAATTCAGAGCTGGCCCATAGGTAGAATTTGAGGGAGGGAGTAGCGAAGAGGGAGCTACATGGGATGGAGCAGGACTTAGGCCCATAATCTGTATATATCCCTTTAAATCTTGATCTGACTTTGAGCTGTCCATGTTCAGGTCAGATTTTTACATGGTCTAATAGAAAGTAACAGTTGGAAGACTGAAAGAGTTGAACAGAGATGGTTGTCGTTACTCACTGTGGGGAACGCAGAATTTGGAGTTTGGATCTCACATTGGACTTCGCATTGAAAGCATGGGGTGCTCACACTTTTGAGTTAAAAGAATGTTTCGCCAGACTAATTCACTGTAGGATTAAGGAGAAAACCAAAATATTTAAGTAGGCTTCAGTATGTTTCTTTGAATGCAGAATTACCAGTTCCACAAAATCAAGATGACCACTTAGAAAAACCTTAGCATCCTTCAGGGAAAGTGAATTGAAACCAGAGTCTCTATATAGACGTATGCAATAAAAATTATTATACCTAGGAATAACCAGTAAAATATGATCCTTAGTTATGAAGGAGAAAAGAGAAAATGGGACTGACAAAGTTTAAGAAGAATATCACTTTGTTTAAATGAAGAAAAGTCAACTTACAGATGGAGTAAAAAAATTCTTTGGAGACTAGTATACATGAGAACTACTTTGTAGTCAGATGTGACAATCAAAAGTGAAGACAGTCTTAAAAGTAGCCATTGGAAAAATGTGAATTCCACACAATAAAGCATTTTTGCTCAAGATGGATGAGGCCAAAAATAATAGAATTAGATAAATTGCTCAGAGAGGGAGGTTCAGTCGCAGCATAAATAAAATGTTCAGATTCCTTAAGAGATTGCCAAAACTGCAGAAGTGCAGCCATCCCTTGGTATTCCCAGGGTATTGATATCAGCATCACCCCCACATATGCCAAAATTGTGGCATGCTCAAATCCCTTCTGTAAAGTGGCATATAGTATTTCTACACATGTCCTCCTATATACTTCAATCTCGAGATATTAGGTAACCTCTAGATTATGTTTAACCCCTGTTGAGAGTTCTCCAGTGTTAAGAAACATGCCCTTCTTGTAATACAATGTAAATAATGTAAATAATTGTTAGATTGTACTGTTTAGATAATAATGACCAAAAGAAAGTCTGTATATATTCAGTATGGACATGTTTTTTTCTGAATACTGTTTTATACTGATATACAGTGCACAGAGTTCTGATTTTGCCATTCTCAACCAACACTTTTGTTTTCTGTTTGTTTTTTGGTTGTAGTCATCCTAATGGTTATGAGATGGTATCTCAAAGAGTAAAAATATTGAACATATTTTCATGTGGTTATTCCCCATTTATATGTCTTTTCTGGCAAAATGTCTGTTAATCCTTTTCTTATTTAAAAAAAGTTTAAAGTTATTGATGGACCTTTGTTTTATGTATGTATGTGTGTATATATATGTGGTGCTGAGAATTGAACCCAATGCCTCACACATGCTAGGCAAGTGCTCTACCACTGAACTACAGCCCTAGCCCCCAGTTCTCATTTTTGAAGTGGTTTGTTTTTGAAATTCTTCATTGTTTCAAGAGTTCTACAAGTTTTGGATTTCATTCCCTATTCAGATGTGTGATTTGCAAATGTTTTCTCTCAATCTCTGGGTTGCCTTTTTACTCTGGTTGTTGTTATTGTTTTGTTTTGATGCACAACATTTTTAAAATTTTCATGAATTCAATTTGTCTTTTTTGTTAATCTTTGATGTCATATCAAGAAATCATTGCCAGGTCTAGGGTTGTAGCTCTGTGGTAGAGCACTTGCCTAGCATGCTGTGCTTGCCTACCACGTATGAGGCCCTGCGTTTAATCCTCAACACCACATAAAGATAAATAAATAATATAAAGGTATTATGTTTATCTACAACTTAAAAAAAATAAAAATAAAAATAATCATTGCCAAATTCAGTGTTTTAAAGGTGGTATTTTTTGTAGTTGTTGCTCTGAGAGATTTATAGTTTTAGTTATTAACTTTTAAGTCTTTGATCCATTTTTTAAATATTCTTTTAGTTGTAGAAGGACACAACATCTTTTTATTTATTTTTATGTGGTGCAGAGGATCGAACCCAGTGCCTCACATGTGTGAGGCAAGTGCTCTACCACTGAGCCACAACCCCAGCCCCTTTTGATCCATTTTGAGTTAATTTTTACTCGTAATTTTAGAGAAGAATCACCTTCATTCTTGGATATCCAGTTTTCCCAACATCATATGGGCAGGTGTGTTTTAAATTCAGTAGTGTCATCCAAGAAGCCATAAGGTCCAGGGCTTTTCCTTGCTTGCTATATTTTTTTTATTACTGATTGAGTCTCCTCACTTGTTTTAACTTTATTCAGATATTCTATTTCTTTATGAGGTAGACTTGATAGATTTTATATTTCTAGGAATTTGTCCATTTCATCAATCTGTTGGTGTGTAATTGTTCATATAGTCTCATAATCGTTTTAGTTTCTGTAGAATCAGTAGTAATATCCCCATTTTTATTTATGACTTTTTAAAAATTTTATTTTAGTTGTAGATGGACACAGTACCTTTATTTTTAATTTATTTATTTTTATATGGTGCTGAGGATTGAACCCAGGGCTTCACAACGCGAGGCAAGTGCTGTATCACTGAGTCACAATCCCAGCCCCATATGACTTTTTTTTTTTTTTCAATCTTCTATTTTTCTTAGTCCTTCTAGATAAAGCCTTTATCAGATGGTCACCTTTAGGTATCACGGTTTGTTTTTTCTCAGTCATCTTTATTATTTCCTTCTGCTAGCTTTGGATTGGGACTTATTTTTCTTATTTTCTATAAAGTTAAGATCTTGGGCTTTTGTTTGTTTAAATGTTTTTAAATTTTTTTAAGTTGT